TACTACTTGCTATATACACATAGCATCATCTGATTTTACCAAATGCTTTTAATCCCTGGTAGCCATGGATATGCATGAATAGATTCCCTAATACACTCACAATAAATTTCATCCATATTCTAAAGCAAATTCATTCATGTTTAACACACTCTATGGCTGGGCATGGTGGCTCGCCCCTGTAATCCCAGTACTTTGGGAGGCCGAGACTGGGTGGATCACCTGAAGTCAGGAGTTTGAGTCCAGCCTGGCCAACATGGCAAAATTCTATCTCTACTAAAAATACAAAAAACTAGCCAGGCGTGGTGATGGGCACCTGTAATCCCAGCTACTTGGGAGGTTGAGGCAGGAGAATTGCTTCAATCTGGGAGGCGGAGGTTGCAGTGAGCCAAGATCACACCATTGCACTCCAGCCTGGGAGACTGTCTCAACTAAAACAAAAACAAAAACACCACACTCTAATTTCCTTTCTTGAACAGAAAATTAGAAGTTTCTAAAACATCTTTTTTGTTGCTTTCTACATACTGATTTTCATTTATTTATTTGAGGTGGAGTTTGGCTTTTTTTGCCCAGGCTGGAGTGTAATGGTGCAATCTCAGCTCACTGCAACCTCAGCCTCCCAGGTTCAAGCGATTCTCCTGCCTCAGCCTCCCAGGTAGCTGGGATTACAGGCATGTGCCACCATGCCTGGCTAGTTTTGTATTTTTAGTAGAGATAGGGTTTCACTATGTTGGCCAGGCTGATCTTGAACTCCTGACCTCGTGATCTGCCTGCCTCGGCCTCCCAAAGTGTTGGGATTACAGAAGTGAGCCACCACACCCAGCCCTAATACTGATTTTCTTACCAGAAAGAAGCAACCGTTTATTAAGGTACAACACAATCACAATGTCATTGTGGCAGTAATCCCTGCTGCTCGTTCCTTTGATTTCAGCTAAGATTCTGTAGCCCACAAGGCACTTGAGATTTTTCTCTCAACTGAAGGTACCTGAGAACTGAGTCTTCTGGGAGTGTCCATGGTCTTTAGACCCATGTCCAAGATCATGTGTTTTCACTGATCTTGCAGATAGACATTAAGGTTTTTAATTATTATTATTAAAGACGGGGTTTCACTCTTGTTGCCCAGGCTGGAGTCCAATAGTGCGATCTTGGCTCACTGCAACCTCCGCCTCCTGGTTTCAAGCAATTCTCCTGCCTCAGCCTCTCAAGTAGCTGGGATTATGGGCATGTGCCACCACGTGCCACCACACCTGGCTAATTTTGTATTTTTAGTAGAGGCAGGGTTTCTCCACATTGGTCAGGCTGGTCTGGAACTCCCAAACCTCAAGTGATCTGCATGACTTGGCCTCCCAAAGTGCTGGAATTACAGGTGTGAGTCACCGCGCCTGGCCCCCAATTTTTTTTTTTTTCAAATATTCTTAAAACTACACCTCTCGTAACATTCTTTGGATTATCTTCAAAACTTGTATTTAACGGCTTTGCATTGGTGAATATTTTCAGAGGATTAAGGCCTTATCTTTGCTTCTTCAAAATACAGCTTTATATAGCCTGGTACTATATTTTGAAATTACATTTTATTAACAAGAAAAACAGGCTGGGATTATTTGTTCCAAGGAGTTCTATGTCCCTTGTGATGGTGGTTCATCATCGGATTCACTGAAAGGAATGGAAGCACGAGTTCTCTCTTCTAGTTGGACTACATTCCTTTGCCACTTCAGGGTATGACTTTTGCGTTTTGTAATAGGATTAAGATGCTTCTTTTCTTCATCAGTAAGCCTATTTTCATCCAAACTACAAGACTTTATGATTAAGGTTTTAGAATTGTTAAGATCAAAGTAGACAGTGCAGAAGTTGGCCAGGCACAGTGGCTCTCACCTGTAATCCCAGCACTTTGGGAGGCTGAGGTAGGCAGATGGCTTGAGCTCAGGAGTTTGAGATTAGCCTCGGCAACATGGTGAAACCTCGCTCGTCTAAACAAAAACTATAAAAATTAGCTGGGTGTGGTGGGCCACGCCTGTTGGCTACTTGGGAGGCTGAGGTGGGAGGATCACCTGAGCCTGGGGGACAAATGTTGCAGTGAGCTGAGATTGCCCCACTGCACTCCAGCCTGATAGAGACCCTGTCTCAATTAAAAAAAAAAAAAAAAAAAAAATGGTAGCAGAATTCTATAGTCCCTATTTAATAAAGACTGCTTCCTAAGTCAATGAAAGTTATTTCTAATTCCAAGTAGTTATGCAAGAGGCAGTGGTTAGGAATCATGTACATATTGAAGTGTGTTGAATATTACAGAAAATTTTGAGGAGTCAAGAGTGTAAATATGTAAAGTCTATCACTGTAGCTTTTTTTTTTTTTTTTTTTTTAAGTTTTTAGTGTTACTTTTTAGAAAAGAGTAATTTTCTAGGATTCTGGCTTAATTATTATTATTATTTTTTGAGATGGAGTCTCGCTCTGTCACCTAGGCTGTAGTGCAGTGGCACAATCTTGGCTCACTGCAACCTGCAACTCCTGGGTTCAAGTGATTCTCCTGCCTCAGCCTCGCAAGTAGCTGCGATTACAGGTGCCCACCACCACACCCAACTACTTTTTGCACTTTTAGTAGAGACAGGGTTTTGCCATGTTGGCCAGGCTGGTCTCAAACTCCTGACCTCAGGTGATTCACCCGCTTTGGCCTCCCAAACCAAAGTGCTGGGATTACAGGCGTGAGCCATCATGCCTGGGTGGATTCAGGCTTAATTCTGTAAGAAATATTATATTCTTATATTTCCTGCATTGGCCTACTACAATGACTAAACCACAAATTAGAAATATAAAAATAGGCATCCAGAACATAAAAAGGGTAGGAAAATTAGGTATTATCACAGACCTAGTTTATGATGTGACAAAACTTTTTGGCTTGGTCAACAACGTCAGGTGAAAGAATATAAAAAACTAGTTTTTATTTCTGAATAAATACCCAAATTAGGAAAGGCAATAACACGTTCTTCTTCCCTCATTTTTCTCTAAAATCAATTTTTTTTTTGAAATGGGGTTTCCCTCTTGTTGCCCAGGCTGGAGTGCTATGGTATGATCTCGGCTCACTGCAACCTCCGCCTCTAGGGTTCAAGTGATTCTCCTGCCTCAGCCACCCAAGTGGCTAGGATTACAGGTGTCCGCCACCATGCCTGGCTAATTTTTTTTTGTATTTTTAGTAGAGATGGAGTTTCACCATGTTGGCCAGGCTGGTCCCGAACTCCTGACCTCAGGTGATCCACTCGCCTTGGCCTCCCAAAGTGCTCGGATTACAAGCGTGAGCCACTGTGCCCTGGCCAAAATCAATTTTTCTGTGTGCAACTTGCTTTTTTCCTTAGTCATCTCAATTTCTACTTCCAAAGATATTATTTTATAAGAAATTTACCCCTAAGTAACAATATGATTGAAAGGTTCAGTCTTTTTCTCTGTCATCCCAATTTTATTCTGATTTAAATTCATCTGGAGGAAAAAGCCTCATAAATGTACTTTATATGTTTCTTATTAACAATATATTCTTTTCAAGGAACTCTATCATTACTGTCTTTTACTATCATCACTGTCTTTTAGTTAAAAGTTTATCTTCAAGATTGTCCCTTGAAAAAAAAAAACCAAAAAACAGAAAACACTTTGCGGGCCAGGCACGGTGGCTCACGCCTGTAATCCCAACATTTTGGGAGGCCATGGTGGGTGGACCACTTGAGGCTAGGAGTTCAAGACCAGCCTGGCCAACATGGCAAAACCCCATCTCTACTAAAAACACAAAAAACTTAGGTTTGTGTGGTGGTGCATGCGTGTAATCCCAGCTACTCAGGAGGCTGAGGCACCAGAATTGTTTGAACTTGGGAGGTAAATGTTGCAGTGAGCCTAGATGGTACCACTGCACTCCAGCCTGGGGAACAGAGTGAGACCCTATCTCAAAAAAAAAGAAAGAAGGAAAAAAACCATTTTCAACAATTGTTTCATCTCACCTTAAAGATGAAGGAAATATTTATATCATAATTATATAATAATTATAGATCAATCTCTAATCTGGTTTTGGTGGTCAACAAGCCATATGACCACAAACAGTAACTTAAGACAAAAATTGGTCTAAAAGAATTTGAGGTATTGTAATCCATTTTTTAGTAATAGCCATGTGAATTCCATTTAGCCTAAGTCACATATAAATGGCACTTTACATTTTTATATTCATCTATTTAGAACACCTAGCCATTCTTCTAACAAAATAAAATAAAACAAAATGAAATAAAATAAACTATAGGCCAGGTGCAGTGGCTTACGCCTGTAATCCCAGCACTTTAGGAGACCAAGGTGGGTGGAACACCTGAGGTCAGGAGTTTGAGACCAGCCTGGCCAATGTGGTGAAACCTCATCCCTACTAAAAATACAAAATTAGCTGGACATGGTGGCAGACGTCTGTAATCCCAACTACTTGGGAGGCTAAGGCAGGGGAATCGCTTGAACTCAGGAGGCAGAGGTTGCAGTGAGCCGAGAACAAGCCACTGCATTCCAGCCTGGGTGACAAAGCGAGACTCCATCTCAAAACAAAACAAAACTCTAATATACCATATATTTTATATGACAGTGAAACATTCCAGTAGAAGTTATTTAAATACAAAAATCCTAATAATCTCTTACGGATTCCATTAAGTTTTCACTAGTAAAACCTGGAAGACAAAATGTCATTTAATCTTACATTCCTTTAGGGCAGGGTTTCTAAAACTGGACACTATTGACATTTTTGGCTGGATAATTCCTTGTTATGGAGAGCTGTCCTCTGCAACAAAGGATTTTTAGTGGTATCTTTGGCCTCTACCAACTAGATGCCAGTAGCACCCACCCACTTGTGACACCAAAAAAACCTCATTAGACACTGCCAAATGTCCTCTAAGGGATAAATTCACCCTCTGTTGAGAACCACTCATATTTCCTACTGTTTTTATTCTACAGTGAAGTCACCTCATGTATCCACTAAAATTCTGAAGGAAGTACACAGGTTAATTAAAAAATATATCTTTAATTAAAGACTTAACTTAAGGCATCATACTGACATCTACGGGCTTGGTACTAAACTGTACATTTGACATACACTGCATTTTTTTTTTTAAACTCTCAAAATTAAAAGCAATATAGATGCTATTCTGGGAAAGTAGAAAAATTAATTGAAAGCAGTAACACTGACATCAGGACAACTAATATTATGTAAAGTATAACGCATACAAGAACAATACTAGTTCTCTATTGCTTCTTTCTTTCTGATACACTGTCTTTTGGATAAACTGAATTTTTTTTTTTTTTTTGAGATGGAGTTTCATTCTTGTTGCCCAGGCTGGAGTGCAGCTGCAGGACCTCGGGTGACTGCAACCTCCGCCTCCTTGGTTCAAGTGATTCTCCTGCCTCAGCCTCCCAAGTAGCTGGGATTACAGGCACCCACCACCATGCCCAGCTAATTTTTATATTTTTAGTAGAGACGAGGCTTCACCATGTTGGTCAGGCTGGTCTCGAACTCCTAACCTCAGGTGATCCACCTGCCTCGGCCTCCCAAAATGTTGGGATTACAGTCATGTAATCCCACCATAGGCCACCGTGCCCGGCCTAAACTGAACTTTTAATGAATGCTTACTGATCAAGAGGGGATTTTTTGGTGATGAGTTAAAAAAAATCTGTTTCCAAAAACTTGCAAAAATTAAGCATCATGCTATTTTATGATTTTGACTGAAATTTTAACATATGAACTAAAAATTTTAAAACCTAATAATTCTATAAATAAAATTAAAAATTTCTAGGCATTTTTATAAAAGAAATTTGGTAATTAAATACTACAGTCAATTAAACTGATGAACTTTATTGGAGTTAAAACTATAACAAAGTTCATCCTAAAACACTTTGCAATGCAAAATTATTTCACTCGAGGAGTGTTTAATAATTTGAAGGCTAGGAATTACAAGCAATTTTCAAAAGCAGAAACTCACATTCATAAAACTTTATACATCATTTGAACTAAAAGACATGTATACTAATAAAATCAAACATGCATCACCTTCAAACATTCTTATATCATGATTTTTATATATTACATTATTTAACACCATTCCTCATCACTACATGGATTTTATCATACACTTGCACCATTCTCCTTGGATTTTTGATCTTTGTCTTCATTCTTTACATTATCCTGTAAGACAACAGAGAAGGAAAAAGTACATTTTACTAGATTCTCTTAAATGTTACTTTGATATTAGAGTATAATGATATTCAGTTTGGTATACTTTTTTCTAGTGATAAAGAACAATAAATTAATTTTAATATCTTAAAATTAATGGTGACGAAGTATTTACCTCAATTCTGCCCAAGAATAAATGGGGTCTAAAAATGCAGTGAATGGGGCAGGTGTGGTGGCACATGCCTGTAATCTCAGCACTCTGAGAGGCCAAGATAGGAGGGCTGCTTAGCCCAGGAGTTGGAAACCAGCCTGAGCAAGATGGTGAAACCCCATCTCTACAAAAAATATAAAAATTAGCTGGATGTGCTGGAGCACACCTGTAGTCCCAGCTAATCAGGAGGCTGAGGTGGGAGGATCACGTGAGCCTGGGAGGCAGAGGCTGCAGTGAGCCAAGATAGCACCACTAACAATCCAGCCTGGGCAAAAGTGCAAGACTCTGTCTCAAAAAAACAAAACAAACAAAACAAAAAACCAAACAACAACAACAACAAGAAAAAAACCACAGAGAAGTGAAGTGAATGGTTTAGTTCAAACTTATACTCTGGATTAAAAAGAAATATAAATGAAATTTGCTTCAAGAAGTCTGTACTCTTAAATCATGTTGACATTCCAACTAAGTTTTAGAAAAACAACATCTTTTGGGAATCACCTTTTTTTAAAAAAAAAAAAAAAAAAGATGGGGTCTCGTTTTGTTGCCCAGGCTAGAGTGCAATGGTGCAAACTAGACTCACTGCAACCTCTGCTTCCCAGGTTGAAGTGATTCTCCTGCCTCAGCCTTCCAGGTAGCTAGGATTACAGGCACCTGCCACCATGTCTGGCCAATTATTTTTGGATTTTTAGTACACATGGGGGTTTCACCATGTTGGCGAGGCTGGACTTGAACTCCTGACCTCAGGTGATCCGCCCGCCTTGGCCTCCCAAAGTGTTGGGATTATAGGCGTGAGCCACTGTGCCTGGCCTGGGAATCACTTTTTACTAATCTCAGGAAGGACAGAATGATTATCATTATTTGCTTTTAGAATAATCACTAAGAGCTTAATAACATTAAAATACATTAAAAGCATCATTTTAAAAACTATGAAAATGTTAAAAATACAAAATTTCTCACCTTCTTGAGAACAGTGTGGATTTCATCCATTACCGTAGATAAGTTTCTGATTGTCTTATTCAGTTGGTTTTCAAATTGTAAATTCATGTTTTCTGAAATCTTTAAGTTTTCTTGTAACTGACTAAGGTCCTTTTTAACTTCTCTGAGTTCACCAGAGAGACTTTTGTTGGAATTCTCCAAATTTAATATGGTTTTTTCATCTTCATCTGTTTAAAAAAATCCAAAAATTAACATTTTACTTTCTAAAACTTCAAATTTAACTTTGGGGTTAAAATATTTAAGCTGTGAAAATAAAAAGCTGACTGAATTCCATAAAATGGCAATGTCTGTCAATTTCACTAGTCATAAAGCACACTGTAATATTCATTATTTATTTATTTTTGAGACCGAGTCTCACTGTTGCACCGGCTTGAGCGAAGTGGCACGATCTTGGCTGGGATTACAGGCACGTGCCACCACACCCAGCTAATTTTTGTATTTTTAGAGATGGCGTTTCACCATGTTGGTCAGGCTGGTCTCAAACTCCTGACCTCAGACAATCCGCCCACCTCGGCTTCCCAAAGTGCTAGGATTATAGGCGGGAGCCACAGTGCCTGGCCTGTTTCATTTACATTTTTAACTTGTATTATTTCAAAACCTATGTTCTATTTTTAGATGATTGTATAGATTAGAGAACACAGACTGGTAAAAATTAAGTGGATGCCAGGCGCGGTAGCGCATGCCTGTAATCCCAGCACTTTGGGAGGCTGAGGTGGGCGGATCAGGAGGTCAGGAGATCGAGACCATCCTAGCTAACATGGTGAAACCCTGTCTCTACTAAAAATACAAAATATCAGCTGGGCGTGGTGGCATGCACTTGTAGTCCCAGCTACTTGGGAAGCTGAAGCAGGAGAATCACTTGAACCCGGGAGGTGGAGGTTGCAGTGAGATAGCCCCGCTGTACTCCAGCCTGGGTTACAGAGAAAAAAAAGTGGAACTAGAAGGTGATTAAAAGGATGCAACAGATAACAATGAACCTGAGAATGCACATGAAGACCTAAGATTCACATAAAGCTAAGCAATTTTATAACCTAAACCAGAAATAATGACAAGTAAAGGTCCTTGCAGAGTGCGGTGGTTCACGCCTGTAATCCCAACATTATGGGAGGCCGAGGTGGGTGATCCCTTGAGGTCAGGAGTTTGAGGCCAGGACCAACATGGTGAAACCCCATTTCTACCAAAAATACAAAAAATAGCTGGGCATGGTGGCACACGCCTGTAATCCCAGCTACTTAGGAGGCTGAGGTGGGAGAATCACTTGGACCTGGGAGGCAGTGGTTGCAGTAAGCTGAGATTGCGCCACTGCACTCCAGCCTGGGTGAGAGTGAGACCCTGTCTTAAAAACAAATAAATAATTTAAAAAATTTAAAAAGTTCCTTCTGTACTTCGGTGAAAATATGTGGTATGTATATGCAGATGTGTACACAGGTACGTACATGTGTATGTACATACATAAACACATATACATGTCCCAGCAGGGTGCTAAAAGTATGAACATATCCAATGCTGACCCTTACCTGTTTTTTCTTCTAGTAACTGCAGCTTCTGTTCTACCTCAGCTCTTACTTTTTCGCTCTTTTCCAATTTTTGCAAGAGGCTTCCTACATCTACCATTGCACCATTGTACACAATGAGGCCAACATTTTCTTCCACATCCTTTGATTCCTGCTTTACTGTTGGTGTTGGAAGTAATAGTCTGTTTCCTGTAATATAAAATATTATTTCATAATCACATATTTTCATGTGTTATTTTTCTTCTTTAATTACTGGTATATTTATTAAAAAGCAAAATCTTAACATGCACAGACCTAGCATATCTTCCTGCAATGACTCAGACTCTTCATGGTTCTCTTCATCTTTTGAGGTGTCTGTTAATTTCCGGTAAAAGCAAGACTCACGGAGCACTACTTTATTAAGAAGCTTCTTTACCTGTTATGCATGCAAGTAAACAAAATAAAGAGATGAAAATATATTTCTCGATTCTCTTAGAAAAACTATGTGTTAATTTTCACTTTCTTTTGAGAAAGAGTCTTGCTCTTGTCGCCCAAACTGGAGTGCAGTGGTGTGATCCCGGCTCACTACAACCTCTGCCTCCCGGGTTCAAGTGATTCTCCTACCTCAGCCTCCAGAGCAGCTGCAATTACAGGCACCCGCCATCATTCCCGGCTAATTTTTGTATTTTTGGAGAGATGGGGTTTCACCATGTTAGCCAGGCTGGTCTTGAACTCCTAACCTCAGGTGATCCACCCGCCTCGGCCTCCCAAAGTGCTGGGATTACAGGTGTGAGCCACTACGCCCAGCTGTAATTTTCACTTATGATGGAAATCCATGGAATTGAGTAAAATCCAAGTTACTTTTGAAAAAATAAAACTTCATTGTTAAAAAGTATAACATTGATAAAAATTTATGCACAGGTATGATTTATTATAGCATAGTTGGTAAATCCAATAAATGAAAACCACCAGCAACAGAGACTAGGTAGGTCAATTATGGTACATCTATATAATGGGTACTGTGCAGCTATAAAAAGAATGAGGCAGGTTTCTATTTTCATGGTAGAATGTATTTACAGAATACTGTGGAATGAAAAAAAAAGAGCCAGTCAAAATGTAGAGAATAATTCCATATTTTGTTTATAAAAATGGAACTGAGATGCTTACAAAAAGATCTAGAATTTTATATATTATAGTCGTAAGGAGTAGAAAAAGAGGGAGAGGGAGAAGGGAAGTGTTTTACAACTGGTTTGTGTTATACTGCTTTATTTATTTATTTTTTTGAGACAGAGTCTTACTCTGTCATCCAGGCTGGCGTGCAGTGGCGCAATCTTGGCTCAGTGCAACTTCCGCCTCCTGGGTTCAAGAGATTCACCTGTCTCAGCTTCCCCAGTAGCTGGGATTACAGGCGTGTGCCACCACACTCAGCTAATTTTTGTATTTTTAGTAGATACGGAGCTTCGCCATGGTGGCCAAGCTGGTCTTAAACTCCTGGCCTGAAGTGATCTGCCTGCCTCAGCCTCCCAATCACGCTGGGATTATAGGCGTGAGCCACCACGCTTGGCCCTTATGTTGCTTTAATATATCAAAAAAATCAACGGAGGTTCTATTAACTTTCATTGGAAAAGGTAACTTTTAAAAAATGTTTTCCTTTTAAATATTCACAAGATAGATTACCTGAGCCCGAGAAAGATGTAGTCCAAGAGTATAAAGTATTTCTTCCAAATCCTTTTCAAGAAGGTAACCACAATGACTTTGATCAAAATAAACAAAAGCCATTAACAGATCTCTGTTAACTGTGATCATTTGCGTCTTTTCTTTTTCCTAAGAAAATGGAGAAATAGAAAACACAGTAGCCAAATTTTTTACCCCCGAAAAGTGGGAAACAGAGACTGTGCATAAAATAGCAATAATCTAATAAGACATTTACCTCATCCTAGCTAAAATGAGTTAATCTGGTATATGAATATGAGAGAAAGGAATCAGACATACTAGTTACCTGACATAGCCACAAAAAAACAACTGACAGAATTTTACTTAGTGGTAATATAGATGGATAAGGACTAATAAACTTCACAACTGTGTTATGTTTAGATGATGTAAGATATCACCATATTAAAAAGAATACAGTATTCAATAATACCTTATCTTTAGAGGGCCTCTCCTTGCAGTATCTGTTGATATCTCTTTTGTCATCTCGTTTGGTCATTTCTTCCTCATCCCTATCTGTAAAATAAATATAACAGTGGCAAAAAAGTCATTAATACACATATTTTCAAGTTGGGCACAGTGGCACATGACTGTTATCCCAGCTACTCAGGAGGGCCAAGTGTTCGAGGGTGTAGTGAGCTATGACTGTACCACTGCACTCCAGCCTGGGTGACAGATCAAGACCTTGTCTTTTAAACAACAACAACAACAAAAAAAATAAAAATAAAGAGAAAACCTTATGCTAAAACATACATGAACCTTGATAACAGGCTAAGTAAAAGAAGCCAGTCACAAAAAAATCACTTATTATGTGATTCCATTTATATGAAATGTCCAGAATATCTACAGAAACAAAAAGCAGACTAATGGTTGCCTAGGACTGAAGAGGTTCAGGGAAGATGGGGAGTGACTGCTAATGAATAACCTCTGCACTCAGCCTGGGTGAAAAGTGAGACCCTATGTGATACTGTTTGATAGCATTTGAAACATAGAATGACCTCTATTAAAATTAAAGTCAATCACCGGGCACAGTGGGTCATGCCTGTAATCCCAACACTCTGGGAGCCCGAGGCAGGTGAATGACTTAAGGTCAGGAGTTTGAGACCAGCCTGGCCAACACGGTGAAACCCCGTCTCTAAAAACACAAAAATCAGTTGGGTGTGGTGGCGTGTGCCTGTAGTCCCAGCTACTCAGGAGGTTGAGGCTGGAGAACTGTGTAAACCTGGAAGGCAGAGGTTGCAGTGAGCCGAGATTGCGCCACTGCACTCCAGCCTGAGCAACAGGGCAAGACTCCATCTCATAAACATATAAATAGAACCAATCCCCTCCAATACTGCCACTGCTTAAGTTTACGTAATATTATAAATCCTTTGTTATTTCAACAATGTTAACAGCATCTTCACAGAAGTAGACTGCATCTCAAAAAGACATTGTCTTTGCTCATCCATAAGAAGCAATCATCTATTTAGTTTATCCTGATATTGCAGCAGTTCCATCCCATCTTCAGGCTGCATTTCTAATTTGAGTTCTCTTGCTCTATCCCACCTGCAGTTATTCCCTCTGCTGAATTACTGAACCCTTCAAAGTCATCCATGAGAATTTTTAGTAGAGTTGGGGTTTCACTATGTTGGCCAGGCTGGTCTCAAACTCCTGGTCTCAAGTAATCCATCCGCCTTGGCCTCCTAAAGTGCTGGGATTACAGGTGTGAGCCACTGCATCAGGCCAATAATTGAAATCAATTTCATACAACCTACTGTTTTGTTATGTTTTGAGACGGAGTTTCACTTCTGTCGTCCAGGCTGGAATGCAATGGCATGATCTTGGCTCAATGCAACCTCCGCCTCCCAGGTTCAAGTGATTCTCCTGCCTCAGTCTCCCGAGTAGCTGGGATTACAGATGTCTGCCAGCACACCTGGCTAATTTTTGTATTTTTTAGTAGAGACGGGGTTTCACTATGTTGGTTAGGCTAGTCTCAAATTCCTGACCTCAGGTGATCCACCCACGTTGGCCTCCCAAAGCTCTGGGATTACAGGTGTGAGCCACTGCTCCCGGCCCAAACTACTGTTAATGTTGATATTTTTACCTTCTCCCATGAACCACGAATGTTTCTAATGTCATCTAGAATGGTCAATCCTTTCCAGATTTTCAACTTACTCTCCCCAAACCCATCAGAGGAAATAATATATACTATGGTAGCAAGAGCCTTAGGAAATGCATTTTTTGGCCGGGTGTGGTAGCTCACACCTGTAATCCTAACACTTCGTGGGGCTGAGGCAGGAGGATCGCTTGATCCCAGTTTAGCACCAGCCTGGGCAACAAAGAAAGACCCTGTCTCTAAAAAGCAAAAAAAGTAAATTTAAAAAGGAAATGTATTTCACAAAAAGAAAGACTTGAAAGTTGAGGGTGGGCACAGTGGCTCACACCTGTAATCCCAGCACTTTGGGAGGCCACGGTGGGCGGGGATCACTTTAGGTCAGGAGTTCGAGACCAGCCTGCGAACATGGTGAAACCCTGCCTGTATTAAAAATACAGCAATCAGGCCGGGCATGGTGGCTCACGCCTGTAATCTCAGCATTTTGGGAGGCCAAGGCAGGTGGATCATGAGGTCAGGAGATCGAGACCATCCTGGCTAACACAGTGAAACCCTGTCTCTACTAAAAATACAAAAAACTACTCGGGAGGCTGAGGCAGGAGAATGGCGTGAACCCGGGAGGCAATGCTTGCAGTGAGCGGAGATCGCGCAACTGCACTCCAGCCTGGGCAACAGAGCAAGACTCCGTCTCAAAAAAAAAACAACAACAGAAATCAGCTGGGCATGGTGGCTCATGCCTGTAATCCCAGCTACTTGGGAGGATGAAGTGGTACTGTTTATCTCCGTATGGATATGGTGGCTTCCTTAAACCTCATAAATCCACACCTGTAAGACTCAAACTTTTCACAGCGTTCTTCTTTCTTTCTTAGCATTTTACAGAATTCAAAGAGAGTTATGGTCTGCTTCAAGAATTAGGCTTTGCCCTTCAGGGAGATGTTGTGACTGGTGTGACCTTCTATCTGACCCCTAAAAC